ACTTTTATATCTATATACTTATACATAATATATAACTAAGATTCAAACGACATTCGGACAAACAACCGAATACCCTAAGTCCACAACCAAACAAGGAACATGAAATAAGGCGAGTTATCAGTCCTAAGCCCTTTCAACCTTATTTATATAACTATATCCATATAGACATGATTTTGACAATATATAAGTTTAAAAGAGTTGAATAAGGAATTTAACATATAAAAGAGTTTTAACCATTTGAATGGCTATAGATGACTTGTCGTCAGTTTATAAAAAGGTTTTTGAAACAGTTTGATAACACAGTTTTGAAGAATAAGAAATCCACTTGATTGGTAGTTATTAATGATATGTGATTGATATAATAACTATAATGTTTTCTACTTGTATTCTCCCCCCATAAAAGCATTTAAAATCATTTAAAAGATAAGTTAGGGGTATGAACTCACCTGTAGTGAGTGATACGAATGTAAGTTCGATATAGGATGCTAAGTATCAAGTGAAGCCTCGAGCACAAATGGATCCTATTAAGCATATAATGACACATATATGTATATAATTAGTGTATATACAACTAATCATGCAAGGAAACCACCTTAGGGACTAGGAAACACTTAGATTGAAGTGTTACAATCACATATGATTGCATAAAAGGGGTATATGGCCACACAAGAGTGTGTACGGCCAAGATGTGTACGACCTATGTGGTGTACGGCCAATGGGTGTACGGTCATGGAGTGTGCGGCCGTACACTCATGGAAGAAGTATGCAAAAAGGGGTGTTTGTGGCCCTATATAGCATCCATTAGGTGTTCATGATCCCATGTTTGAACTTGAGGTGTTTATGGCCCTATATAGCATCCATTAGGTGTTTATGGCCCTATTAGAACACTCAAACAGACCCTAAACAATGCTAAAAGATAGCAGAAACGAGTCTGACTTTGATTGAATTGAATAGTTGTACAAGATAGAAATTTCGGGTTGTCACATAGGGACCATCTTCTTGATTGCCAGTATTATTTTAGGGAATCCTCCCATTATACATGTTAATTGGTTTTAGAGTACACATGGTGAACACATAGTTCAAAAACATCTACAGGTTGCGAGCCTGCTAGCGTTCCACTGGACTGTTTAAAATAGTCCACGGTTGTCATCTATACTTTGCTAGATGACATCATTGCCTAGTACAATAGTACTAGTAAGTTAACGCCTCTTATTGTTTTCATCTTGGATCATCTGTCTTCCTCTCTATTCTATTCAACCCTCATTACCTATTTATACCAAATACATTATAGGTAAGAAAAATACATATATGGTAAATCATATAAAAATCATCTTATAATATTTCATTTAACACATAACATTTTTGTACATATGCACATATAACATTTGATTATTTAGATACTTCATATCTATGTGTAAGGTGAAAGTAACTATGCACTCACATGGTAAAAATGGGTGACTGACGATTTTGGCAACACTTTGCTTCATACTTTGAAAAGACCTAGACGCATGAAGTACTAAGCCTTAGTTTAGTTTCGTAATCCTGGTGACTATAATAGTTATAGTCTAGATTCCTCACTAATCTCAATGTCTACATCAAGAACTATTAGGTAAGGATCAGCCAGGTAGGAAAGTTGGGAGGCATGATCATTTCCGCATAATAGTTTTTCTGAAATCCAACAACCAAGCCAACGTGACCATTCTATACACCTCTATAGTAAGTAGATCAATCAGTAATGACTTAGAATTACTGATAAATCTTATTTATAGGTTAATAATAAAAACTTATGTCTATAAATATAAGTTACACTAAAAACAGAAGAGTGTAGCTTAACCTACAAAGGTTTTAGCGAAAACCAGGAAAATGCACTGGCAGGATTCTGGCCTGATAGCTACTAGATGTCAGGCTCTCAGGGACCTTAGGCTTCGCCAAAATACCGTAAACACTAAGAAAATTTGGGCTAAAAGGGCTGGAAACTCAATAGAGGAAGATAAGAGAATGTGGGGGAAGGAATGAACTTATGCAAGATATTTATAGGCACTTCCGGGGGCTTGCGCACCGCGCATTATGGCCTTGCTGGCTCCTATGGGTTTCTGCCATGTGTCGCTGCCTCGTTTGTCCGCGTATGCTTCTTCTAGAAGGTGCCACGTGTCACCTTCCTATGGTGCCACGTGTCATAATCTCCTTCGTCCTTTTCAACATGTCTCAGAATAAAGGGGCTGCCTCGACATGGCCACGTGACGCTCTCTCATGGTGCCACGTCATCATGCGCGTCGTGCACTTCGCGCACACGATTTTCTATATTTCAAAATGATGTAACTTCTTCATACGAGCTCCGTTTTTTATGTTTCTTATATCCTCGGAAAGCTATCAACGAGATCTACAACTTTCCTTTAGACCTCAATAGCTAATTCTCAACCTATAAAAATTTTATATTTTTGATATGCTTAGGGTGTTAGATATCGCTGCAGACAACATAACTCTTATATACAGACTGTGTTCTCGGTGTTCTCTATATCGACAGACTCCTATTAAAGACATATTTAACTATTTTTTATATTGTTTTCGGCTAACAATCTACCGAATAGAATTTCGATTTCTGTGTCCGCATTGCCGCGCTGAAACTTTGAAAAACCATAACTTCCTGTAATGAAGTCAGATTTTGATGTTCTCTATTTGCGTGGTCTTGGTTTAATGACTACTACGACTTTTTGTTTAAATCCCTTAGGCTAAAAAGTAATTTATCAAAAATTCACTTTTTACGATATGCATATCCGTGCCGGTTTAATCGCAAAACTCCGAAGAAGCATAATTTCTTCATACGAAGTCGGATTTTAGCGTTCTTTATATGTACTGAATCCTTGTGACATATACCTGAACTTGGTTAAGATTATTTATCATGAATAACCTTCTATTAAAAATTCATTTTAACATTTATTATTTCTAAACTGACTAGCCCGAATCTTCGGGCGTTACATCTATTGTTAAGAATTTGGACAATATCTGCGAACCCCTTTGAGATAGAAACCACAAACTTTCTAGTTAAACCTTGTGTGTCTAGTTCTTTTATCTACTTATGTGTGGGAAGAAACAACCTAAAAGATAGCAAATGTGATGTGAAGTGTTGTATAGTGTGAAGTACTTTGGTTAAGGGAATACATAACAAATTGGAGTAGAAACCCACCCAACTTATGGAACGGGAAACTTGATGGTGAAGTCAAGACTCGGTATGTATGGTGTGTATGTGATATTATGACATAAACTAAAACTCTAAAATTATTTAAAGGAATTTATTAAAGGTTATTTCAAATAGTCTCATGCGATAGGTGTTACAGTTGCTACCTCAAATCATGAATTTAATACCTCGAATGTACTAGACAATATCCTCATGGTCTCATATACTTTTAAAATGATGGAATGATTAGTCTCATATACAAATTTGTACTCTTCAATCATTAGCCCATCCTTACCATCATGTATTGACTCATCAAGTTATCATACCTTACCCCATATCAGACGTATACATAAACAAAAGTAATATTGTAAAGTCCATCGACAAATGTTTTAGTAACTTGATAAATCCTGTGTCAAAATCTATGTCATGAACGAATAACTATTATGTAAAACACGGTTGTATCGTTGAAACATTGATATGAGGTAGTAACATCATTTGAAGTTTTTGTGACTTTTTTAGGACTTCTCCATTTTATGTGTTTAGTTATTACTTTTGTAATAATTATTTGGGGTTGCTCCCTCAAATTTTGAGGATGAGTTGCCCGTGTATCGAAAAATGAAAAACGGCCTAATGCTACTTACAATAGGGAAATGAATGTTAGAAAAAATTCAATGAATAGATTTCGAAGATAGACTATGAAGCTAAAGTTAGCAATAATCTTGTAAGTACCAACACACATATCCTTAGATTAACGTGTTATTAAGTATCATGTGAAGTCACTGTGTCAAATCTATATAATTTTGTGTGAAACATAATGAGATTGATATGGATGTTATGACAAACACGAAAAATATAATGTACGCTTAGTGTTGGTTTTACAACTATAAATACACCTATCTAATTATATAAGACTCTATGTGTAACCTATGATTTGACACCAATATATACATGCTCGAAATTATTAGTAACATAAAAGTGTTGCTCTAAATAAAATGACATTTTTGTTAAACTATATAGTTTTTGAAAGTTGTGTAAAGTTTCAGGGCCTAAAGTGCAAACATAGTATTTTTGAGAGGGTAAAGTTTCATCTCATGTAAAATGAAGGGCTATGTGAAACTCTGTCGATGAAACTTGAAAGCCCGCTTCCCTGTTTTCGAAAGGAAGCCAAAACCCTAGCAAAGGTTTTAACGCTACTTTATCTTATCTGAGCGGTACCGGAAAAGAGACGACGGCGGCGGTGTCGATGGTAGTGGGGGAGAGGCACGACGGAAGCAGCCAACCATCCGCAAGGTATTTGCTGGTTGCAGGAGCCTCCAGTCTAATTTGCTCCTTTCATTTGCCTACCCCACCATTCTCCGCCGGAATCCTCTCGGTAATCGCGATGAAGATTGCCCGCTTTCCGAGCCCCGCAGTTCATGTGCGATTGGGCGACGATGGCTTCGCGGGATTTCAATCCACTTAATCATAAGATACGTTTTACATTTAGGTTATTTTATTGTGAAAAAATGAAATTGGATCTCGCAATCGTAGATTGGGTTTCTTTCTCTTACAAATTAAAGTTTTCTTTTTAGTTTATTCGCGAATTAGGTTTCTTCTCTTGTTCATTCTTCATGATAGAACCTGTTGGAACATGTTTAATAGCTACATCTATCAAAATTTCCTCTTCTTTCATTACATTAACTGTTAATCAGTCGCTTGGAGTTTATATTGCTACAATATACAAATCTTTAATATCTCAAATTCTCAACCAATTCAGCACAAGGAAATCGACAAACATTGAATGTTATTCTCATTTCAAGTAACAAAACATACATTGAGGAATCTTTGACACCACATTTGACCTCCAAAAAAAACACACACATAACAACTTTAACTCTGAGCATTACACACACTAAAAAAGACATGCCACACAGTCCACCAACTCTAGTTGGTGTCCTTTTCCGGGGCTGTCTGAAAAGACTCCAGGAAATCTTTGTAAACAGTCAGATTTCCTGAAGTTTAGTTTACGCATCCAACTCTATGGGCCTTTCAAAACGGGCCCATAAAGTTTGTCTCATCACTATATTACATTAGTTACTATAATATATCAGTATTCCATACTTTAATCTTATAACTATAAATCACATAAAAAAAAAAAAAAAAGTATTTTAACTTAACTGTTAAGTTAAAAGTTTGGAGTTAGAGACCGATAGACTTAAACTGTTTTCCAGCATAAGTCTGTCCAAAACTCCAACCTGCAGGAGCCACATTCTTAGAAACAACCGTTCTTCCATCACTTGTTGTGACCTTAAAAGATAAAGCTTGTCCATCAAGATTCGCACCACTTTGCCAATTTTGCCCCCAGTTTCTCGACATTGCTTGCCATGTATTGCTTCTAGACCCCTTAATAGACACCCCCACAACATCACCAGCACCACCAACATTTGTCAACAACACTAAATTGAAATATGAATGACCATTTATTGTAAATCTCATTCCACCCCTCTTCTTGCAAGCAACCCTATCAAATTCAATACATAAAAGTAAAAAATGTGAGTTTCATGTTATTTTTTTATTTAGTGATTATATTTTGTGAAAGGAGGAGGAAAGTTTACCTTCTATATTGAACGGGAATAATTCCAGCTTTGTATTGACCAATTTTCAAGAAAATCGGTTGAGCAAGATCGAAGTGTTGTTGTGGAGGATTACACCACCCTCCATTGTTGTTTGGAAGTGCGCTATTTGGAGGACAGAAGTTTGTAGCTGTGACAACAATGGACCCTGGAAGACACCATCTTTTATCATTCACACATTTGATCTCAAAACACGCTCCACATGCAAGTCCATTGTTGAATAAAGCAGTACTTAATGCAGCTGTATTTGTACCATATCCTTGACTATATAAATTTCCAAACCCACATGCTCCACCTACACATATATAGATATAAACATCAGTATATATATATATATGATAAAAGGTAATCCACAAATCTTTAAAAAGTTGCAAACTTTTACTTACCCATTGTACCAGAAGCATCGGCACCACCATAGAAGGTGGCATGGGCGTTAGACCACCCACCACCACCTATGCCGCTAGCTAGTGGTAGTGTTGCAATGGTGGTGATTGTTAGAACTAATAAGATTTCAAGAAACCCCATTTTTAGAACTGAAAAAAGATAAGTTATGAGGGAGTTTTGTTGAGGGATGAAGATGGAAGTGGGGAATGACACCTTTATATAAAGAATTTATGAGAGAGAAAACTGTAATGGCAGTTAAAGCGTTTAACCATATGACAAGTTGTTAATGTTAAATAAAATATGTTTTGCCTCCTTTTTTCACATGCTTCATGTTAATAGAGAATCGTATTCTGTGGGAAGAGTGATGAAAAAGGCAACTATAAAGTTTACTCATTATACTTGAAAGTATAGAGTGAAAGATTGTAAACAGGATTTGTGTTTGTGGTTTCAAGTTGTATTATATAAATGTGAATCAAGAAAGTGTATGTAAGCTGCAAGAAACCCTAAAAAGTTTAAAGCTTGAAGCCTACTATTATCTTATGATATTTTATTGATAATATGAAAAGAACGGTAATTGAAAATGAAATGAACAAAGTGGTGGAGTGAGGAAGGTAATTGAATGAGGTATTATATTCTATTATCATGTTTGGTTGGTTGGAAGGAATGGTCGATGGTATTTGTTCTTCAAACATCTTGTATGATATGTATAATTAGAAAGTTAAATAATTAAATTGATAAATAAAGGGAAAAAATATTTTGTAAAAATAATCTTAAATTAAATATCAACATATTGATAAATAGATTAAATATTAACATATTTCATGTCATTTGAAATATATACATGTATTTCAAATAATTATGAGTATTTTTTATTCACTTTAAGATGTTTGCAACAACAAAATAAGAAAAAAGTAATTTGACTGAAGTTAATTTTTTTTAATAAGTATTTTGTTATTAAAGATTATATAAATAAAAATAATACATTATTTTATATGTGACAAGCAAACAAACAAGATTATTTGGAGAATTAATCACAATTTATCATAATCCTCCATTCTATTCCGATAAGACAACCAAACAAGATTATTTTATTCATATATCAAAGATTACCTGCATTTTATATGTCAAGATCAAAGATGTTTTTACTTTTTAGATGGATGATACTATGGATAGTAAATGTAATTATGAATAAGGAAAAGAGGTAAATGATGAAAACAAATGTGAAAAAAGGGATTGGGAAGTGCATTGACTTTTTTGAGTATTTCATAAGATATGTTAAGTACTTTTGAGGTACGATTTAGTTTATGGAGATTAGCAAATAGAAGTGGCATTAATGATTGGTTGATTAGAATAAAACACCCACATGAAACCTAATTTGTGGCATGTGACCGTTTTAATTGCAAATGTAATTGAGATTGGAATGGCATTGACTTTATTTATTTATTTTCTAATATTATAGTCGCAAGTAGAGGAGTCACATGGTCACTTGGGATTGCTAACTTAAGTTCTAACAATTGGAAATTCAATTTAAGTAAATCAAGACTCCTTCAACTTTATAATTGACCATCGTTGTATTGGTTTTAGGAGTAGATGTATTTGTGGTTATCATTAATGTATTTTCTAAGTTTATTACAATTTATATGGGAAAGGGATGTCATGTAACATGTCATCTTTTTTGGACTTGTATGATATGAAGTGTTACTAACAAACAAATTACGACTATCCACAAAATCTATGCATTGGATTTGTATTCTTTTACTAAATCATAAGTTAAGTTTTAATTTGCTTCATTTCATTTCGGTATTTCTTACCGTAAATAATATCGAATCCGGTTCATCTTAAAGTCTTGTGGATTCATCAGCTCTTTTGTTATTGTTTTAGGCGGTGTTTGTTTTTTGGCAAAAAGTTTTATTATTATTATTATTTTATTATTTTTTTTTTATCTCTTTTGTTTGTAGAAAGACATCATAGAAAATATTAGTTTTTCAAAAGGCAAAAGATATAAAAAAGACTTTTTGACAACTTTTTCCAAATGATAGCTTTTGATTTTGGAATATGTTTTTTAAGTTCTAACCATATATGATTTTGTCCCACCACCAATGTCGTCATCATCGCTGCCACACTACCGCTGCCCATAACCATTGCCGCCACCTCCACTGTTCGCGCCAGAATCACCACCTCCCCCACCATCAACACTTTTGCCACCTCCACCACCAGCACCAACACAAACACTATTGGTATCTTTTATGTGTATTTTAAAAAACAAACAATTTTCTTTTTAAAGATTAAAGACATGGAAAAAGAAACTTTTTTACCATATTATATTCTACAAACATGAAAATTGAACAAAAACCACCTAATCAATATGATGTAAGAAATTTACTTACTATACAAATAATCAATGATAGCTATATACAATATAAATACAGAAACTAGTAACTTACATATTTAGTTTTATTCCACTAAAATCCATGAGGCGTCGTTATAATGTGTCATTTCTATCATGTAACCTTTGTGGGTTGTCGGTTGTCTACATGTTACTTGTCATTGCAATTCTGCCTTGATGCACATTAAAAACTTTTTTTCATCTTCGTTTTCTCACTCTTATAAATCTTCATGATAGCCTCACAATGATACGTAAGAAAACGCACTTGAAAATGGGTTAACTGAGTTAAGAAAATTAACCTTTAAATCATGTTCCATCATATTAATTGGATAGTCGTGAAGTATGATTATCATTGCAAGTTCTTACTTTGTAACTTGTTGATCAAGTGTATGAGCACAAACTGTTAACAACTTTATCTTTTTTCTCACGTAATGGATTCAAAATGGATTGTTTTATTAACTGGAGTTTCTTGAATGGATATATTTGCATGTGTTTATGCAAATGTTTGCTCCATTATTACTTTTCTCATAATTTTACTCACAATAGTTTGCATATAACAATACTTCTTAAACAAAGAGGAGTTGACAAGGCTATACGCAACTATTATGAGAAAAATTAGGGTGATCAAACAAGAATGATACCAAACATATATTACATGGAAACTTAGCATAATGCTATGTGAGAAAGCATCTGGAATAATTAATGCAATCCACCATCGTTAGGTCTATCTCCATAAGTTCATCTTTTTTGTCCCCATCGATGATCACCACTCCTCTATTCGTAACCGACACTAGTTCTATCTCCATCCTTTTGATGCTGACGTCTTTAAAGCCTCCTAGCACCGACTATATATGACAACATCTTGTCGAACATCCGGTTACACCACATTACACCCATACTCCCTCACCTTCTCTTATGCACCCATCATCTCACCTCCTCCCCTGCACCCCACCCCACCGCCTCACCTCCTCACCTACACCTACTACTATCAATGACTATCTTTGGTCATCATCCCTCTATATATCTTAAATCTGGCCAGGTGAAAACCTAAGAAAACATAGATAGATATGGTGTAAACGATCCTATGAAACTTTTTGCATTTAGATTTGGTCCGATGAAAGTATAAGAATATTTGGGGACAATAGATTCGTCTTAGGCGGTAAGTGAAGGAACTGTAGGGATTAGGGTGTAACATCCCAAAATTTCAGATAAAAATTTTGTTTTTAGTTCATTCCAAAATATCCAATAATCATGTCAAAACAACCAAGAGTTTATCATAGTGAAATAACATCAAATTACAAAATCCCAAAATCACATAATACGGAAAACATGGGCGGATGCGGTGAGATCAAGCCGGACCCTTCCCTTTCGAGCTAAAAGTACTTGAAACATAAACTGAAAACCGTAAGCACAAAGCTTAGTGAGCTTCCCCAAAATACCCCATACCATACATGCATAACAGTAAAAACATAATTAGGTCTATTTCACCCCCTTCGGTCTCTTTCAACCGGTATTAGGTATATTTCACCCCCTTCGGTCACTTTTAACCGACACTGAGTCTATTTCACCCCCTTCGATCTCTTTCAACCGGTATCGGGTATATTTCACCCCCTTCGGTCTCTTTCAACTGGTATCGGGTCTATTTCACCCCCTTTAGTCTCTTTCAACTAGTATCGGGTCTATTTCACCCCCTTCAGTCTCTTTCAACCGGTATCGGGTCTATTTCACCCCATACAGCTAACATACAATCATAACAGCAAGAGTCACACAGATCACATGCACATACAGACATAGCAGAAAATTGTCACAAAGAAAACCATCAACCCCTAAACGTAATGTAACGTCTAATTATTCAGGTATTCGTTTTAAACCCTGAATTGTGCTTTATTTGCAAGATTAGTCCCAAGTGGCAATTTCATAATTTCGGAGCCAGCTTGGGTATGCGGGGCGTACACCTTCGTACGCAGGGCGTACCCGGGTTCGCATTAGTACACTACGTGTACCCTGGTACGCAGGGTATACGCAGCGAGGGTGCAAACCCTAAATTTTAGGGTTTGGACCCTATTTAAACACATTTATGGCCATAGGCACCTTCTTATCTTTAGCCTCCTTCCTCATTTCGCAACCCTAGAGAGTGTTAGTGCATTGTGAAGCATGTAGAACCATTTTTGGTGCATTTTGGAGATTTTGGAGTATAAGGAAGAGAATTGAGGTTGTGGTGTTTCACTCAAGGCTTTGGATCCAACATCTTGTTCCCCTTATGCACCTTGTGGAGGTAAAAAGAAAGCTTCAACCTTGGTGTAGAAATCCTATGGATCTAGTTTTAACTCAAAGTTTTTCCTCTTTTTGTCCCAAACTTGGTCTTTGTGAGTAGAAGGTACTCCAAGGCATTTGAGTTTTCATTTAAGAGGTTTTGAGGGGTGTTAAGTCATAAAGTTGTGTTTTTGGTCATTAGTTTCTCTCCATGCGTGTGTTAGATTGTCTTAATGGGTTAAAAGACTAGGGTTTTTGGAGTTAATGTCTTAATAGCCATGCTAAACCATAAAGTTGGAAACTTTATGGTTAAGAACATCTTCTTTAGCCTAGATATGAATTTTGGACGTGAGTGCTTAAGGAATTAAGCACTTAATAGGAAATGTGGTGAGCAGCCCCATACGCTGGGCGTACCGAGGGGTACGCTGCGCGTACGAGGTCAGCTCCCCGATACTCGGTCAACTACGTAGTACGTCTCGCGTACTCACCGAGTCAGCCTGGATGACTCGGTTGACTTTGACCAGATTTTCTAGGGTTTGACCTAGGGG